ACTCTTATGAAGACCCAATATCAAAAGTATTTGTTGTAAATTGGGAACTTTAAAAAAGAGAATTTGTTATAAGAAATGTTGCTTTATAAACAATTTTCTAAATAAAACATAATTAACACATACCGACATAAATGAACACAAAAATAACATACACAAAATGAAATAACACACCATTCTGAAATCATCAGATTATATAGAAATTTGGTACAATATAACTATCAGTACTTTTAAAACACTTACTGATTTACTTTAACTTCACTATATCGCCTAATTTTAATTTGAAAACCAATAATGACATTATAAACACTCCTGTCACCGTTAAATATTATAAACAACCGTTGAAGCTGACACAACTTGTTGATAAGTGTGTTGTGCTTGGAAATGTTTTGATTGGCTGCCTGAAATCACGTGAACTTTTTCAACGGAATAATTTGTTAAACATTAACAAAATAATCTGTAACCTTTGAAATTAACAAAATGCTTACAAAATTGCATTTTACCTTTACAAAACTTTCGGTAAAATATATTTCTTTGTTAAAATAATTACAAACACAGGTTGTATATAATACCAAGGAATTACTCCAAATAAACTTGCACTTGTTATTTGATATGCGGGGGAGGCGCCTTTTTGCGAGTCAATCTTACTTAATGCCTACGTTAATACCGGAATTACACAGAGTAATCTAAAAAAGTGTCGCATAAAGATTTTTAAGTATTTAAAAATCTAAATTGTACCTATATATTTTTTTTTATGTTGCTGCTAATGCCGCCCCTTTACGGTGCCGCCTGATGCGGCCGCATCCTCGCATCATATCACGGCACGGCCCTGACCTGTATAATAAGCTACCACTACCAATAAAAAAATTAACAATAACAAATTTTAAGAACCAGATAAAAATGTATTTAATAAACAGGGCTTTCTACTCAATAAACGAGTATATGAGAGTCCAGATCTTAATTTTAACATTATATAAATATTTATTAAATGTTATATTTTATCATATTCTATTGTATTATTGTATTTTTATATGTAACTTCTGTACCTTGACTTGCCATAAATGTTTTTTTAATGTAATGTGGTTAAATAAATAATATACTATTATATTAAATTTTATTGATAAAAATAGGCACGATACATCTTAAAAATTATATGCCCTCTAAATATTTTACGGTTTTAAGAAAAAATATTGCTTGGGTAAAAATTCAACAAAACTTAAAACCTACATAATAATAATAATAATCATTTAGTTTTAATCATTTTTTAACAACTAAAACTTTCCTTATTATTCCTTGTTTAATCATATATTATATCACGAAAACTATGAATTTAATCGGTTAAACTAGGCTCAGTAGTTTTTTGTTTGGTTTTTGTTGGAAAATGTTGAATGCAAAATAATTTAATAAAATCACGAGACCGCGTAGCGGTCGAGGGGTTTTATTTTTAATTATTTTGCATAAAACTATTTTCCAAAAAGAAAAATCAAATAAAAAACTTACTGAGCATAGTTTGCCAGATTAAATTTGTAGGTTGAGTGATATACGTCTAGATTATTTCTCGAATTAAAGGAAGCTATAGTTTGACAATTCATAAAATCTGACGTATGTGTCAAAATTTATAAATATTTTTTTAAAGAAAATTCCATTAATTTAAGGCATGTAATAAGTAATAATTGATATTTCGTAAACTAGATAACTTATTTTTTATTGTTTTTTTAAAAAATGTTTGTTAAAACTTATAAATAACACCATAAAATCGTAAACAAAATCCAATGGAGGCTAAAATTTAATCGCTGTTAAATAGTTCTAGTGATTTAATCGCTTATTTAAACGAAATTTATTCGAAAATTCAAGGCTTTTGATTGGTTCCTATCATAATGAGGGAAATAATCAATATTAATAGTATTTATTACCACTAATAACTCTTTATGGTTAATTTCGTAAAATTATGACTTATGAGTAACATTTACCATTACAAAGTAAAAATTCTGACGTTAATATTACCGTTAAATTTTCCTTTAGGTGAAATACACTTATAAGTAATTTTCTTTCGTAAAATTACGTCCCTCATAATAGTAATAAGTAATATTGCCTCAAAGCTATACGCTTTAACTTAAAATGCTGCTTAAGAACTGTAATCTGTTAACTTTAAGATTTATATTTTTTTATAACAAAATCCTATATCAATAATTCAACCTACTTTTTTGTAGACCCAGTTTCTGTTGGAAAATGGGAACTTCAATGAAAAAAAAATGTTGATAAGAAATGTTGCTTTATTAAACAAAAAACACAAAAATAACATACTCACAATTAAATAACTCAACATTCTAAAATCATCAAATTATAAAGTAATTTGGTACAATATAATTATCAGTACTACAACACTGATGTATTTGGGTGGAAATAATAAAGTCCATTCGTAAGAATAACAAGGGTAATATGCGATTTCTTGTGTAATTAGCAATAAAATTCGTTATTACGTTAATAAAGATCATTTTAACACACGATATAAACGATTTTAGCATTTCATCGTAATTCAGAATAACATGGACGGTGCACGACTTGTCTTATTGGTAGATTTTTTCAAAGAATTTGTAGGGTACATTTTTTATCAAGTAACCCCCCTCTCCCCCTTATCATTTGGGTGGGCACAGTCATTGGTTTGACAGTTAATGTCAAAATCGATTCGCCATGCCGTCCTTAATTTACTTATTTACAATAAGCGGATGTTAATGTTAAAGAAGAAGAAACTGTGAATAAAATCCACATTAAAATAACAATTCTAATAATAACCACTAACAATTATAATTATAATTATTCATATCCTGCTTAGACATGGGATGCTGCACAGCTAATGGCTTAAATAACAAGATAGTAGTTATAGTAATGTTTAGTTTAAGTAAATGACTTAATAGACTATAATTATAATTAAAAATCATTGATCAACGAAGTGTTAAGCACGATATAAGTAAATATTTGTTATGTAGTTTTTTAAATTGCAAGTAATTTACTAAAATATTATTTACCAATTCTTCCTATGTATCGGCTTAGTAGTGCATAAAATTGTTACTAAATATATAAAGCAGAATTTCTCATCGTTGCGGTTTTAATTTATTTTTGTATTATTTAAATATTCACATAAAACAAAAACTACGTCACAAGGAATGCTTTTGATGGCTCAGGAAACTACTTCGTACTTCGTCAGTAACTGGTTGTATTTTTAAATAAGACTGATTTCTCCTTCGGCAGTATTATTCAGTCATCAGTGACAAAATTTTCTATAATAACATCATATATATTAGGTTCTCTGAAAGAAAACAATGATGCCTGATAATCTTTTCGTACTTTTCTATTTCTATTCTCCTTTTTGAGTCAGCACTAATGATGATACTTGAAAAATCATTTTTATTTTGCTTTTGAAGGAAAAATTACCTTTGACGAGTATCTAAGGTGCTTTCCAAGTAGCCCAACTGGTTAAATAACTACCATTCTAAGTAAATTAACCAAAATCCAAGTAAAATAACGGTTTTTTAAACTTGCATTTTAACCAATTGGTTGAATTTAACCAACATTTTTTTAAGGTGACCTTTTAAATACACATTGACAATTTGTGGCTTTATGGCGCTTTAGTCACGGGCTGAAGTTAGCAACAGGTTTTTAGTCAGTGGGCTTAAGTTAGTTTTAAGTTAGTTGACAGTTGTCAAATGTCATACAATCGTTAAAATAAATTGCCTTTCTTGTAAAATAATATTAAATGTGAAAATTATTTTATTATCTCAATACATTTGTATGAACATTGTACTGACCTTTTAATTTCGCCGGCAGTAAACTATATCTTAAATTCGGGCACGGACTCCACTGTAAAGTGCTCATAAACCATTTTCTTTATAAACTTTTCTATACACTCATTAACTTAAGCACTCGCTCGCAAGTTCTCTCGCGCCTGAATTAAATTCGTGTATAAAATGGCGTTTATCAAACTTGATACATAATATACTATTAAATTGTGTTTATAAAATGAAAGTACAAGTACAAAAAACTATCTTATAATTGTCTAAAAATTACCTTAAGGTAGTTGTCGTGCTGTAAGCATACCATCAGAAAATTTTAAATTTTTGTATACTTATTAAGGACATGACAATACAATTATCCTTAAAATTTGAAGTCGATTGACCGTCTATAACCCGAGATAAATTCAATTAAAAATTTGATAATTAACATGGATTGTATACGCTTTCTGTAGTTCTGTACCAGTTTCTTAGTTATAAAAAAACTAACTGTCAGAAGCTTTCAAAAAACTAACAGTCTTTTAATGTATTTTTGCTGAGTTTAAAAAAAATAATTCAAAATTTTTGACCGTCCAATTGTTTATAAATAACCGTTTAAAGTTCAACAATTTGTAAAAATATACATACCAGTAAGTCAGATAAAAACAACATGGCAACGCTGTACGCGAGTATAGATATTATTTTCGCATTAAATTCAAATAGACTGATTCAGTCTCCAATATATCTATTGGTTGAGCATAAGCAACGTTGCCGGATTAAAACTTATAAAAATATTTGAAAGTATTACGTAAAGGTAACGTCTCCAAGGGTGCAGCCTTGCGAAAAAATTATGAATCACTTAGTTACAAGCTCGTATACTTTTACGGTGGGTATAATCTAAAAAAAATTTGACAATATTGTATACACGACAACTACCTTAAAACTGTCTTAAATAAGTTAATTAAAAAAGAACAAGAAATAGCCAAACCACATGAATATTTATTAATTCTTCAACATTTAGATATCTATCGTATTTTTGGTCAATAAATATCCCATGGATAGGATTTTTAAAATACCTTCTAGATCCAATAATACTTTGATATTTTCTCGCAAAAAATCTTGAGACTTCATTCGATTAATTTTCGTTTATCTCACGATAATATTTAGTTAGAACATAACCTTGCTACGGCCCACCGTGGGGACTTACTCTATATAAGCTAAGGACTCGCTAAAGGCGCGGTTGTTTACTTCTTGCATTCGATATCTGGTGCGTCGACAACATGAAGCTTTACGTAAGTATCCTACTCTCGCGTACTAGACGATATGTTTTGTTTACTAACGAAAGTGCAGTGTTTGTGACAGGATACTCCCTACATATGGTACTCATATACGCGCAGTGCCTTAGAAATGCCTTTAGGGATTATGAATTTTTGATCAGTGAATATAGCAAGTGATGAAATTAATGTTCTGTTTGTTTTGTCTCTGCAAACGCTCCAAATTTAGTTTAAATAAAAACACAATTTTATTTGTACTGTAAAACACTGAAATATTTAATTGTAATAATTTAAAAACGCAATAACTATATATAACCCTTAATAAAAAGGAAGCAAATACACAAGGATGGTTTAAAAATCACTTGTTCTAAATTTTGTTTCATTAAATTTTATTTATTCCAAATACAAATATGGGTACTTTGATGCAATATTCAAATGGAAGAGACACACCCAAATATCGTAATCTAGAACGGGCAGGTTTCAGGCAAACATATCATTAATGCATATTGTAGCGGTTTTTTTATTTATGTAATTATTGCTTTATTATTAATTAAAAAATTAACATTTTTTCAGTCCATACCTATATTATGTTAAATTATATATTAGGTAGTAACGAGATTAATTTATGGCAAATACGAGGTGTGTTCAGAAAATACCGGGTATTTTCGTTTTTTAAAAAAGTATTTATTTATTCGTCTACATTAAAGTTGTCGCCTTCAAAATAGTCCCCATTGGATATTATGCATGCACTTGTGCCAGCGCTTCTTCTAATCCTCTAAACTCTTCTCAAACACCAGTGTTGCCATCTTGGAGAATTTTTCACCATTTCTGGTGATTTTTTGTTCTTGGTTGAGAGTTTTCAAGTTAGATAGCGACAAGTCTCAAACCTGGAGAATTTAAAGATGAATCGGAGAGTTTTTAGCGAATTTTTAATAATTAAAGTTTTGGTTGGGTGCGTTGTACTAGTGATTTTTTAATTAAGTTGGTTACCCTGCAAGAATTTGACCGATAAAACTTTGATAACCTCCATCCACATATTTAAAAAAAATGTGACTCCACCATTCATTACAGTTATCTGTCTCAGATACAGCAGTATATTAGTAGGTACTATCTATATCCTTCTACAGTTTATCCTAAAATGTACCCGTCAAACTTTGTATAGAGAAAAATAGACTTATTTTGATCTGTACCTAAATGACGTTAGCAAAGTTTGGCCAGCAACTTTTGGGACATCCTGTATAGCTTTAAAAATTATTTTTTTGTTATTTCCATGTTAAAAGAAAATGTTTATTATTTAAGCTTATTATAGCTTCATATTACAAAGTTTTTTTTTATATATTTTTTGTTAACTTTTTAACTGTTTTATTTTTTTTTGCATTTTGTGTCCATACAAACCTCTTTGTTTTTGTCCATTAATAGTATTGGAGATTTTCTTTGCCAAAGTGGGAGAATTCTGGTGAATTTTTATTTAGGTTTTTAAGAATTTTAACATTTTACTGTTGGCAACACTGTCAAACACGATCATTGCGATGGTCTTTAGTTCTTTCAGCGATGCGCTTTTAATGTCATTTATGCTTGCAAAACGACGGCCCTTTAAGGTTCTATTTATTTTGGGGAATAGGAAAAAGTCAGACGGAGCCATGTCTGGCGAATATGTAGGCTGGGGCATCATTACAGTATTGTTTTTGGAAAAAAATTGTGTTTAAAATTCAACAATTTTGGAAATAATTTTGCTGCCACGCATTTCATACCCAAAACATTCGAAAAAATTTCATGGGATGAGCCAATCGATATACCAACATCATCAGCTACTTCTCTGATGGTTTATAACCATTTCTTCCACTTTTTCCATGTTTTTATCGGTTGTTAATGTGCTTGTGCGTTCGGGGCGTTCGTCATATTCAACGTCTTCACGGTCATCTTGGAAACTCTTATACCACTTGTAAATTCTTGTTTTACTTATAGCAGACTCACTATAGTTCTTTGTTAACATTTCACAGAATTTATTTCATTTTTTAAGCAAAATTGGATACAAATTCTTTGATCCATTTCTTTTAACGAACGAAAATCACCGAGCTCATAAAAACACGTCTAACCTTAGCGGCTGCCACAGACAAAGTAAACAATGAAAACATTTAAAATTTTTATCATTCTTAGGGGGTATGTATACCAACATAATAAAGACAATTTTATGACAACCGGACTCTTCAAACCCCCGAAATTAAAAAATTCACGTTATTTTATGAACAGATCTCGTACACATTTCAAATTCTTTTTATTATGGTAATTTTGTAAATAATTTGGCAATATAAATTTCCATCCAAAAAATATGATCCAATTATCCCATCGCATAAAAAAGCACACCAAACGTTCACTTTTTTTTAATACTGGCTTAAAATTTAATTTTTTTTCGAAAATTTACCTACAAAAATAATGTTTTTTTTAAAATTCCTTTCCTTGAGACACTAAGTCTTCTTTCCAATAATTTTGATTGATTTCACGGTTTACACCAAATGTCAATCTTTGACATATCTGAAAGTCAATTCGGGGTCACTATACATTATAATATTATAATGTATATAGATATTATCTACAACTAATATGTCAACGTATCAAATTTTAGCAAAATCACATTAGACGTTTAAAACTTATAATAAAAAACGCGTCAGAATATTGTTTGTTATTTTTTGTATTCTTAAAATATCGCCCACCCTATAGTTATACTATCATGGTTCCTTTCTTTTTGACACAACTATATTTTCTACGATACGCCGAATTAACATTTATTAAGTAATTTTTTAATTTAAAATTTTATTGGTTTAAAATTGTAAAATATGTTCAACTATCATGAATTGAAAAACAAAATTTACTAACTTAAAGTTCATTTAGAAATGTATTAAACCAAATTATTTCCAATCAATTTTTGAAAATGTAAAATTTTAAGTTTAAAATATTGTTTTTTAAAAATTGTAGTTCTAATATTTTATTCCCTAAGCAGCATTTTAAGTAAAAGCGTAGAGCTTTGAGGCAATATTACTTAATTTAAGTAAATATTTTGTTAAATTAACCTTAAAAAATTACTTTGAATTAAAACTAAAGTTTTATTTATGTTATTTTTACCTATTTTAATAACCCTTAAGTTTCAACACTTTAAAGTATTATGAGGGACGTAATTTTTACAAAAGAAAATTTCTTATAAGTGAATTTAACTAAAGGAAAATTTAACAGTAATTTTAACCTCAGAATTTTTACTTAATGGTAAATGTTACCCATAAGCCATAATTTTACGATATTAAGACCACTTATAACCGTAAATAATTCCTATTCGCCTGGTATTTTATAGGGTTATTAGTGGTAATAAATACTATTAATATTGACTAAACAAGGAAAAATAAGCTTAAAGTGAAAAATAAAACTTTAAGGGAATTTTTTTTAGGTCGCTATAATGAGTTTTTTAAGATGGCGTCTATTACTTATCTAAACATTTTTATAATATTTTTTCATAAATATTTTTCTAAAATATAATAAGGAAAGTTTTTAAAAAATGATTTTTAAAAAATATTTTATAAAATTTTGTAGGTTTTAAGTTTTGTCCAAGCAATAATTTTTTTTAAAGCCGTATAATATTTAGAGGGTCTATAATTTTTAAGATGTATCGTGCCTATTTTTATCAATAAAATAATGTTTTAGAAAGATAGAGCAAACAGTTAGTACCTAATTATAACGTTATTTTTACGTAAATTTGTGGTATTTATATTCTTTTTATTACGTTATTCTCTTAGTAGATCAAAAAGGTTATTATGTAGGTAAAATAACGAAATAAACCATTCCCCAAATTTGGTAATTTTTCGTATCTATACTGTTATAAAACCGTAAAAATACTTTAAAGTTGACTTAGTAGTAAATTTGTAGTTATTTAACTTAAAATCCCAAGTAGCATTTTAAGTAAAAGTGTAGAGCTTTGAGGCAATATTACTTAATTTAAGTAAATATTTTGTTAAATTAACCTTAAAAATTTACTTTAAAGTAAAACTTTTTTTAAAGTTATTAAAGTTAAGTTTTATTTATGTTATTTAAATGATATTCGATAATAATAATTTACAAAGTGTAAACGCTGCTTTAGCTGACTGCATATGCTGCAGACTTCGCGCTTTCTACGTTTCACCGACTATGGAGTACGCTTAAAATTGACCACTCTAGAAAGAGACAGCGTACGTCGTGCTAAAGCTACGTTTACACTTTGTAAATTAAAAATTATCTATAGTATTAATATCTCATGGCGGGTGACCTTGGGCGCGCAAACGTCACAAATCCGTCAAATCGCGCTATTACTCGCCGTCCTAAAAACATACTACCCCAGGGTTGGCAATGCTAGCATCAGCTGATATTTATTGACATATTTAAACATATTTATAGGCTAGAAATTCTATTATTATATTTGTTATACGAAATGAATAACGGCAAAAAAGAAGTCATTCACATCCAAGGGCGGCAGATCGTCTACAACGTTCTCCAAAATTTGAAACGCGAGTTGAAACGTGTCCAATTCTCTTGAAAGAAAGAATAAAAAAAATTATAGAAGAAAAATGTTGCATATTTTTAAAAAATGTAAGCCTTTTGTCTGAAATAAAGCACATTTAGAAGTTTTAGAACTTATTCATAATATGATATATACTTGTATTAGCAGTAAATCAACATATTTTGCCATACACAAGAAAAATATGAAATAAAAACCGGATTCTATTCTTTTTTTTTTACTGAAATCCATTATATATTTTACAGATCATTGCTCAACATTTGAAGACCTTGCTGCAAAAAGGGGGTAACTTTTACAAAAGTGACTTTTACACCCTTACAACTGTGACTATTCTGCATTGTTTAATGCAAATATGACTCAAAAATAACTTTTATGGAGTTAGCTCCTTTTTGCAGCAGGGTCTTCAATTGCAGTCATTATCTAATGTTACAATATATTTCATAAAATAAAGAAAAAAACGCTTTACTATATTAGTTGACAGATGACAGATTTGGGAAGCATCCATAGACATTTAAGTTAACTTAAAGGTCTATGGAAGTGGCGGATGTTTTTAGTTTCCATTTATTTATTAAATTGAATGGCGTCTGTCAGCGTCTCTCAAGGTCACCCGCCATGAGATATTAATACTTACGTTTAAATGTAAAGTTATAAATTTTGTGTTAAAAATGTATCAATTTAAAATTGTAAAAAGTCATTTATATGTCATGATAGACAAAAAGTGTAAATTTTAGATTTTATTAATTTCATATTTGTTTTTCAGTTTGCATTTGCAGCGGTACTTACCGTAGCCGCGGCGGCTGGTTCCAACCAGCAGTATACCACCCCCGTCCCAATCCTAAAACAAATCAACAAACACAACGAAGACGGCTCCTACAGCTACGGCTACGAAGCGGCCGATGGCACCTTCAAAATAGAAACGAAATATCCAGACGGTGAAGTGTTCGGAAAATACGGCTACGTAGACGACACCGGAAATTTACGCGAAGTCGAATATGGTGCGAGTCGTAGAGGTTTCGAACCCGTAGGAAACGAAATACAGGTTCCACCACCGACTTTGAGACAGAACCCCAACGCCATTGCCAGACCTTTAGCTCCCAACGAAGAAGACGATGGTCAATATCGCGAGGATCCAGCTGTATACTACGCTAACGAGCCCAACAACAATCAAAGAGCGCCACAGTCGAGGTACTACCAGCCTGCTCCGCAACCCCAACCAAAGTACACTCAACCGCAATACCAACCCACTTATAGAGCACCACAGCCTGCCTATCAACCCGCTCCAAGGCCTGTCTATCAACCCCAACCCCAACCCGTCTATCAGCCCCAACCTCAACCAGTTTTTAGACCACAACCTCAATACGACTTCGCTCAACACCAACCCAGACACTACAACCCCGCTCCTCCAGCTTACCCCAACTACAACTCATTCCAAGGTCATCCAGCGTCAAATGTAGACATCAACACTGGATCATACACAGTCCAATACAGAAGATAAATCTCTAAATAAAGAATATAATAAATAGTATTTATTTTTTTACAAAAAAAACATTTACAACTTAAGATAAGACTGTTGCTAGTCTAATAACATTGTACTTCAATTTAGCTCATAGTATTACATCTTAAGTATTGTGATATTTATAAACAATAAAAATATAACAAAAACTTGATCGGACCATTATTTTAACCCGTACAAAGGATTGTCCAGTTCTGAGATAATATACTACACTCCCTAAGAAAAATGGAATAACTTTGTAATTATTAATCGTTGATGTAAATGTCTTTGATACATTTCTCGGCATTAGGTGGAGTCGGAAGACCTTGGTTTATGCAGTGGAATGTCTCCACTACCTACCGGTCTAGTTTTAAAACGGTTTTGCAATGTTTGCTGATATATGATATATCTCATGATTATGTGCTAATTTATTTATTCTTTTCAAATGTCTCTAAATGGTCTTTACAAACATAACCTAGCTCATATTCAATGGACCAAAATAAGCACTACAGGAAACGGAAAATGTTCTGACGAATAAAACAGGATCAATCTTTGAAAAAAATGCCCAAAGACAAATCATATACAGGGGGATCCAACACTTTGTCAGGCGTTAAGTTTAAATCTGTCAAAATGACAGATGACGATGAAAACGTCAGAATGGAAAAAGAAATAGAGAAGAAGATGCCAAAATGGAATGGAATAGAATTTACGGAACCCTCTTTACTTATTTTTTTTAGACTCAATTAATATTTAACAAAGAAAACGCCAAAGAAGCATCGTAACAAAACTACAACTTTTAATAATCAGCTGTCAAACTCCTAAGGAAACATTTTACCGAAAATTTTTTAAAGGTTATATGCAATTTTGTAAGCATTTTGATAATTTCAAAGGTTGCAGATTATTTTGTTAATGTTTAACAAATTGTTTCGTTAAAAAAGTACACGTGATTTTGGGCAGCCAATCAAAACATTTCCAAACCAAGTTGTATTTCTCATAACTTTTTTGTAGTATCCCAGTAAACACAAACACGTTATTTAAACGTATTTAAAACGTGTGAATGGTCAATAAAACGTTGTATTAAGGTGTTCAGTCAACCATATGTTTAAATGTTTAATTTAAACGTTAAAACAACGTTAATTTAAATATGCTTTTTAATAGTGGCTAACTTTTACGTTACAATAACCTTGTATTGAGGTGTTTAGTCAACCATATACCTATTTAAATGTTTAATTTAATCGTTAAAACAACGTTAATTTAAATATTCTTTTAATAGTGCCTAACTTTTACGTTACAATAACGTTGTATTAAGGTGTTCAGTCAACCATTTATTTAAATGTTTAAATAACGTTTCAAACCACATTTTTTTCACAAATATTAAGAGTTTTAATGAGAAAATAACGTTTAAAGTAATTATTTTATGAACTGTGCAGGCAGCTCTTTATTTTAAAATTTATACAATGTTATATTCAACACGCTCCATCGAACACTTTGGTGAATTACTTTTTATATATTTATTTTGTGAAATTTTTCCTTAGTTTACACATGTAGACAATATGACTTCTTATTTAAAATCTGTAGGTATAAAATCTAAAACTTTTGTTCGTTAAAAAAATGAATTATGAATTAATGTTAAATGAATAATTTAACTTTCTCACTTTTTCAAAAGTATATTTTTATAACGTTAACAAAACGGTTTTTGTCAAATGTTTATTTGTATACAAATAAACATTTATCCACAACGTTTTTCTCTAAAATCTCTTGTTTAAAAATAATTTATAACGTTTAATATTTAATAAATTGGTGCAACATGTATACATATATAAACAATATACATAGGTATATAAACAACATTAAATAAAATTTAGAAATTTTCTAATTACATTCTAAAGAAAAGCATAAGTAATTCTATAGTCAGTGGTCATACAAGTAAGCTTTAGGCAGAACACTATACTCATCCACAAATGTTGCTTTAAAAAGTGCATTATTTTATTAACATTCTTTAAACTCTTTATAATGAAGTCATTATGAACGCAAAATAGATAAAATCTATTAAACGTTTTTGGTATAAAATGGCGATATTCAGGTTAAAATTGAAATTAATGCCTATTAACATTAAAAACAGATGTTTAAAAACAATTTGGCTTAAATATTTTCTTTTATAAAACAAGTTATGCTTAAAACTTACAAAATGGACAACCCGTATTACATGATGAAATGCTGGATTTATTAAAAATCTTAACCACATTTATTTCGGTAGGTTTTGTTTTTTTAAAAATGCCGTTCAAAATTCTTGAAACAATTGAGGACTCAAAAATATGTTTAGCTGCATATGTGATTCCAATTACCACTTTTTTAAACTTGTCTATCAACGTCGACATTATGCACATACATGCTAACCAACAAAACAACAAAAAAGTAAGGTTATCTTACTAAAAAAGTTATACCTATTTATATTAAAATTGTTATGTTTAGTAGGTTTAGAGACCAACCGTTTTAAACGGCCCAAAAATTCGTCTAAAAGGTTCTCAGGGTAAAATGGTTTAAAGTGTTCTAATCCTAAAACCTTTCTTAAAGCTCAATTTAAAAACAATCATAGGATATTAGCCTTTTTTATGGCTCCTTTAAACCCATGTAATCCTTAAGAGCACTATAAAACCAAAGAGTTTTAAAATAGCATATTAATTAATGCTCATAAAACCGTATTAAAACAAAAAAGTTTTAAAATATTCTATAAAACATTTGTTTAAGAGTATTTTATCCTGCAGTCCCATTAGAAAAATATATTGCCTTAATTAAACCGCGTCTATTTTTTGTGCAACAATAAAACCATATTAAAACTAGCTTTCTTAAAAAATGTTACTTGGGAAGCCTTGATTTTCTTAATCAATGATATAAGGAATAATAAATCGAAATCGAGTGGGCGATTTAGCTGTGCAATTAAAACTTTGGGAACAAAATTTGTCGAGTAAGACTTCTGCCCTTCTGTCTTTTGTGAAAAGCTACCTATTTATTTAAAAATTATGTGCATTTCGTATGCTTTCAATGTATTTAAGACTTGTAGCTTTTTTAAGTGATTACACATTACTACATTTTTGCATTTTTTAGCAATCCTAATTAATGCTGCTTAAACTTAACTGGAAAGCGTTTAATATAAAATAATAAAAAGTTTAGCGTATGATGTGGCATGAATTAATTAAGACTAAATTGGAGAAAAAAAATTATGTAAGCTCATAACTACTTTTACTTTAATGCTTGTAGGTATATATTCACGTAAGTCAAGTTTAAAAGCAGTAGTTCATGCTCTAGATATCACAAGAATATATTTACATGCATGTTTACACGTTTAAATATTAGTTAAATGAGAAGTAGGAAATAATTTTTTGTTTCGCTTTTATAATAATTTAATTAAATATGTTTGGAATGCTGCCAAAGCAATATTTTTGCTTTGATTATTTCATCAGTTGTTAAAATAGAATAATAATAGTACCTATAAAACGTAATCAGAGAAATTAATAGATTATTATTACAAGGTTACTATTAATTTTAAGTTAATTAATTTTACCGCTTTATTATGCTTATACAGGGTGTATATAAAAGGTACCTTGACCATACTAAACTAATAATTTGTCTGACATATTTAGATGACAAGCATGTGTAACGTTCAAGAAATTTTTTATTGACAAGTATGTTTTTAATCTGAACTAAGTATCCTACAAAAATAGCTGGCCAGATGACAATAATACTAATTAACTTTAAAACAATTGCGCTATACCTTAAATGCCAAGAACGTACATATAAAACCCTTATTATTTCAAAATTGTAAAAATCTTATGCCTCTAAAAAGTATAATTTTTTATTCAATTATAAAAAACTGCGTACCTACAAACGTTCCAGTGAAAATAATAAGCCATATTTAAGTTGGATTTCAACATAATAGTACCTTTTTTATTTATGGGCTTGACCTTTTAAAAATGTAACATTTTTAATGGGTTACTTATGAGACTCAATAAAATTAGTTGATTCTAAGATAAACCAATCAGGTGTTTCAATAACTTTTGAAATAAAATACCAAATATAGTTTATTTTTAATAGGTCCGGGTTATGGGATTTATTTATAAATAAAAATAATGTAAATGCTGTGGGAAAATTCGTAAAACGTGATTTAAAACAACAATCCTTCGCTTTTATTACTGTTTGCAAAAATGTTTTTAAATTTATTAAAATGAAGAGATTTTTCTACTCCCACCTTTAAAACGCCCATTATGGCGTTTTAGTCAGGGGTTGAAGTTAGCAACAGGTTTTTAGTCCCATGCAGAAGTTGGTTGACAGTTGTCAAATGTCATACAATTGTTAAATAAAGGACCTTTCTTGTAAAATAATACTAAATGTGAAAATTATTTTATTGTCTCAATACAAAAATATGTGTTACCTTTTCAAAAACTGCATCTATATTCGATATCAAGTCACTAACTAAGTTGGAATGGTTACTCTATTGTTTTATAGATGTCACCCTATACAAATATTTATTTTAAATCAGTTTTAGATAATAATATATATTTCTCGTAGAAAAAGTATAGTATGCAACTCGTTTATAAACTTTTATAAACTCATTTATAAACTTTTCATTTAATTAAACACTCGCTCGCAAGCTCGCTGAAGCCCAATTAAAGTTCGTGGCTAAAATGGCGTTTATTAAACTTAATACATAATATACTATAATTTTAAGGTCCTAGTAGTATTAATATTGGATATATCCATATATATATATATATATATATATATATATATATAGATATGCAATCCTACATTACCAAGCCCGAAACGTTACATTCTACAGTATAAACGAAGCCCACTCGGTTTTTACGAAGCCCGAAATCGGGCTTCCTAAAATTAGCGTGTATAAATTTGTTTTAGAGTTAAGTGATGCCCCCTTGTTTCAATGGCGAAAAAGTGGTGGGCTTCCTAATGCCATTCAAACCTATCAAAATATACACCCTTAGTTCCAATGCTTTGGCGGTAGGGGGCACACGAGTCAAACGAGATTATATACAGCTTTGTATAAGTATTACGCAGTATACGAAGCCCGTACATCTGGCAACAATGGGGACTATACGCTCGATGACTTTTTGATAGGAAGGCGGGGAAAATAATGCGGGATTC